ATTTTTAGCCTACTGCAAATCTCTTTTGTTAAATTCCAATCATCTTCAGTAGGCAAGCATTTGTACATTGGCTCCCGATTTCTTAACGGATAAAAAACTTCTTTATACCCCAAACCAGTATTCAACATCAAATAAGTTGAATTCCATCTAGTGTCACAGTCAAGTATAAGCTTCTTACCATTTTGACTATGAATCACGCGTGCTGCCTCAAGCTGTCGGGTATTCTCCACAAACTTTTCCCATCTCTTTGGTGTCGCCAGCCAAAAACGAACACTCTCTCTAATTCTGTCTATGCCATCTCCAATCACCTTAAGACCTTCTTTGACAATGAGATTCAATATGTGTGCACAACACCTCATATGAATCATGCTTCCATTATCCAAGAGAGACTCTAAAGGAAGCTTCTCGATCAGTCGGCTCATCATTGCGTCATTAGTCGAGCAGTTATCAACTATGCCAGCAGATAATCTATGGTCGAGGTTCCAATCTACTATAAAATCAAATAGAGCTTCACAAAGTACTTCAATGGTGTGTGGGGAAGGTACATAAATGAACCTGTAAATAAAAATGAGGGAACTTAATTAAACTGAAATAGTTGTAACAAGCAAGGTTTCAAACATGTTATGAGTAGTAATTACAAGGAAGTACAAATAAACAGTGAACTTAATTAAACTAAAACATGTTATGGGTAGTAATTATATTTACAAGGCAGTAGTGTTGGGTAGTAATCACAAGGAAGGAGTAGTAAAGTAATCACATCAACTCAAATAAACTTAAACATGTTATCTGACTTTTGAGTTGTAATTACAAGTAATTACATTTACAAGGAGGAAATAAACCTAAATTAATGACAATTGTAACAAGCCAACAGCAGCGATTCAAACGTTATCTTACTTTTGAGTTGTAATTACAAAGTAGTACAAATAAACAGTCAACTCAATTAAACTTAAACATGTTCTTGGAAGTAATTACATTTACAAGACAATAGTACTGGGTAGAGATCACAAGGCAATAGTGCAAGTAATAACATCAAAATTCAAAAGGAAGTAGAAATCATTGAAGTAAGGAATAATCACATCTCTTTACACAAATTGTAAAAGAAGGCAGTATACCATTAGTACTCACATACTATACTAAGGGAATACAACTTAGTAATCACAGACTTTAATAACGGAACGAACACAACAAATTACCTAATAATTCGACTTTGGAAAGTCCAATTCTTATCGATATAGTGTGCAGTCACTGTCATGAAATCCTTCTTCTGAGAAGATGTCCACATATAAGTGGTTATTGCCACTCGACCTTCGTTCTACCTCAAAAGCTCCATTGCAGCTTGTTTTTCATGATCATAAATGCCAAGACAATCTTTTTTTTATATAGTTTTTCTGCACACCATCTTAAAGCATGGATTCAAACTAATGCTATAACTCCTAAAACCCTCATGCTCCACGATTGAGAGAGGATACTCATGCTTTGTAATTTCCTGAGCCAATTCCTTTCGAGACTTCTCTTGACTGAAGTTGGATGGTGTCAACTGGAATTTCTCCTTGATTAAATTTCCTTGTAGGAGTTGTTGCTTTATATCTCCGGGCCGCTTCACTTTAGGACATCAATAGTAATGATTCTTCAGATGAGTGGTTCCTTTTGATGGGTCTCCAACAAGCCCCTTCTTACAGTACTTGCACTCAGCTTTTGGCTTGCCATCCATTGTCATCTTATTGTAGTGTTTCCACCATTCTGAAAACACCTTACCAAAGGTAGAACACTTGCGTTTCTCGTGATCGTCCGTATTTGCAAGGGGGTTTCAACAACTACATGTATAACGTCAGGTTGAGGAGCAACAAGTCGAGGTAGGGATGATGTTTCCTCTAAACCTAGAACTGCAGAATCAGTTTGAGGACCCTATTTGTCCATGTTCTATACAAGTCCCTCCTTGTCCATGTACTGCACAATCAGAAAGTGCATGATGGCAATTCATTTACTTCAATATGGTCATGAACTGGAGAAATCTCACCCACAATAAACATTCCAAACAGAACAATAGAGAAATAGGCGATTGATTTTACCTAAATTCGTAGTCGTGTTGACTGCCATGCTGGGAATAAGTGAGCTTCCTTACTTTCTTTGATTCCCCTCCAATAACTTTGTCGAAAGAAAGAAGAAGAAGAACATGACGATAATGAAGGGAGTAGCAGTAACTCTAAGAGAGTCATTCTTCTTCAGTTCTCTATTATAGATATAATTATAGGACAAAAGGAGTCCTTGGGAATTGGGGGAGGAAGAGTGGAAGATTAATCGATGATGAAGACATAGGGTGGGCATGGGATGGTTGGATTGGATTTTGGGAAGATAAGTTTCTCTGGTGCAGGGTTTATTCATGGGCATTGATTGAAGGAGGATCGCTAGCTAGTTCTCTCTTTGAGAATATGAATCGCGTTGAGTGAAATGGGTGTCTGGGACTAGGTCTTTTTGTTGAGCTTCGTAGGGGATTATACGGCGGGGCGGTGCGGGCGGCGCAGAGCTGAGCAGAGCGGGTTAGCTTTGAAGATCCATGTACGACCTGTAATAACAACGGAGCGGGTCGAGATCTGCCCTGTCTAAGGCGGGGCGAATTTTATCCGCCCCATCATGGTTCGGATCGGGAAAATTTGTCGGGTCGGATTTGATATTCCATCCATACGTCTAATGACTAATTGTATCCTTCCTAGCACTAGATTAGACCATTGCTTTGTTTAGATGTTGTTTCAAAAATGTCGCTACATATTTTTGATTGTGTACATGTTTTTTGACGAGAAAACCTGCGACAAATAAAATGGATTACACCTTTGATTTTAACCAAATGATTACTAAGACACGGTTCAAACCTCTTCTGTTTGAGTAGATATGGGACTTTTGGTAAACAAATCTACCCTTGACAGCGTTCGCATACTGTGGAAATTATTTCGATATTCATTTGACTTTTGTCGTGGCCTATGCTGGTTGAAGCGGAGAGCGGCTGGAAGTTTGACGAAGGCAGTTAAGGATGGTTCAAAATATATTGTTCTAGCATTAGCATAATCGATTCTGTGTGTTTGAGAATGTATTGCTAGTTATTCATCAGGGAGAAATGATGTACTAATAGTTTGTAACTTTGGGAGTGACTAGCTTGTATTTTGATAGACTATTGTTCTTGTATCCTTATTCTCCTTGTGGATTTCACGATTCCAAATGAATAAATCTTCATTTTTGATAATTAATTGTATAAATAATGTACATAAATTGAAAATAAATTTCAGTACAAAATATTATTTGTCTCTACAAACACAAGCAGAGGAAGATTTTTTGCCTCATAAAATCTATTTTTAGAAACAAAAGCGTTTTCCGCTAATATACATTTTAGAGACAAAATTTTGTGGCCATAAAATTGATATTAGTGGCTGAAATGTTGATCTCTATATCTCTTATTAGAAGCATATATTATTTGCCACTACATTTGCCTCTATAGGATTATAGCCACTTGAGTATTAGAGGCAAAAGTATCATTGGCCTCTAGATATATATAAAGGCAAATAAGTTAATTATAAAGGAAAATTTTCTTAGCCACTATAGATGAGTTTTCGTGTAGTGATAGTTCGAACGAGGATGTTTGATTGTTGGAATTTTTAGGAACAAATGAGAGCTCCAAACTAAAACTATGGTTACTTGCAGAGAAAAGGATAAAGTTTGACTTAGGCGTCTATTGTCTGGTTGTGGAACCCCTGTCTCTGTCAACCCTTCTTCCTATTTATAGCCATGGGGAGATAACTGTCGTAGAAAACCGCTTCTTGGTTAACTCCCAAAAGGAAATGTTCCAAGAAAATTGATCAAGTTGCATCATCAATGAAAGGCAATGGGAAGAAACTTATGAATTGTGATTGGTGTGGCGACACAAGTCATACCATGGAGGAGTGTAAGTCTATGATTGAGGCTTCAATTACATTTGAGCAGGCCAACTTTGTTGGAGGAAAATCTTTAGGAAACAATCCTTATAGCTCAACATATAATCCGGGTTGGAGGAACCATCATAACTTCCTTTGGTCTTCTCCTTTGGATAGAAAGCCTATAGGGGTTTCAATCTCAAGCTCCTATGCAAAATACGCATCCAAGGCCAAGTCAACCCTCATACCAAGGGGCGTATCAAGAACAAACTCGACCCTCCGATGGTCGAGTCTCTAAAGTTGAAGACTTGGTAGGTCAATTCGTTACACACTTCAACAAGAAGTTAGAAGCTATTGAAAAGCTCTTAGAGAGTACCAAGACCAAATTCTCAAGTTTGGAAGCGAGATAAAGGAATCAACAAGCTTCACTTCAAAATCTCGAAGCCCAACTAAGCTCTTTGGCGCAAACTCTATCATAGAGACAACAAGGAACTCTACCGGGTAATACCAAACTGAATCCTAAGGAGTGATGTCATGCAGTAACTCTAAGGATTGGCCGACCTTTGAAGGAGGTTCCTATCTCAACACCGAGGATACCGGTAAGAGAAGTTCAACGTGAAGTTATTTAGAAGAAGAGCTAGTTCGGGAATGAAGTGCATCCTCCTATTGAAATCAAGATTGGAGATGAGGAGAAAACTAAGAAGACTCAAGCACCTGATCCAATACAAAAATCTCCTTATCCTAGATGGTTATTCGAAAGTGACCTCTATCATAAATATGCTCCATGGAAGGACACCTTGAAGAAATTGAAGGTAACGGTCCTAGACACAGTGATGAAGATTCCTAAATATACCAAATTCTTCAAAGAAATATTTTCAGTAAAGAGGAAGGTGGAAGAAGTTGCTATGCTATCCGTTAGTGAAGTTGCTTCGGCATCCATTGGATGTGAAGGATTCCCTCCCATTTTGAGAGATCCGGGAATCTTCACTATCCCATGTACCTTTGGAGTCAAAATATTTTGGAATCCGTTGGCAGATTTGGGGTCTAGTATCAACATATGCCTGCAAGAATATACAATGAATTAGACCTTAGACTACTCATACCTACTAAGATGCGGAATGAGTTGGTCAATAGGTCTGTTGTCGAGCCAAGAGGAGTCATAGATAAATGTCTTGGTAAAATATGCTCATTTTGGCTACTCTTGTGGACTTCGTTGTTCTCGACAAGAAAGGATGTGATACAACGATTATCCTAGGTCGGCCATTCTCAGCCACGACAAGGACTATCATTGATGTGAGTGGGAACAAGATCAACTTAAGGTTTGGAGAGGAGGAGATAAGCTATAAGATCACTCCAATCCCCAATTTGCACAAATACTTCAAATGGGAAGATGTCAAGATGGATTGTGAGTCGGTCACACCTCCTACCACACCGCCTTCAAGGCCCGAGATAGAATGGTTCAATATGGTCGCTCATACTGACCCCATGATAGTAGAGATGAAGGGGTGAGTGATTCTTGCAAGTAGGGGTGGAAATCGGTACGGTATCGGTATCCCAATACCAAATACCAAATTCCAAATACCAAATTCCAATCCCATTCCCAAAATAATTTATGTATCCCAATCCCAATCCGTAAATATTTCGGTATCCCAATCGGTACTTCGGTATCCTAATCGCTATTATCAAATACAAAATTAATTACCTTTGTAATTAATAAATAAACATATAAATTAGATTTTATTGTTTAATTTAGGGGGAAAAGATTAAGAAAAGTGTCTTGAATTAGGATATTATTAAGGAGAAAGGAGGAGATGAGACATCTCAAGTTCTTGTCATTGGTAATCGTTAATTTGACGAATTGGAGGTTGAGAGACGACTATTAATAGTGATAGAATGATCTATGTATAATTAAATGACACTCTTGGTAGTTTAGGGTCATGTAGTAGTGAATGAGAGAGTCTAGTTGAGAGGATAAAATACACATTAGCTTGTATTTCGGTATTGACCGGTATTTCGGTATATACCGATCCCAATCCCGTAATCCCTAATACCGAATAAAAATTAAAATTCAATCCCAATCCCAATCCCAATAAATAATATGTGTATTCGGTAATACCAAATATAGACAAATTCAGTACGGTATAAGGTATATCCCAAATACCGATACCAAACTTCCAGCCCTACTTCCAAGATTATAAAGAGATCAGGTTAAGAAGAATTTTCTCACAAAAGGGATACTCAAGAGTTATTCAAAGTTTCTCATCAAGCCAATGATCATAGAAGGAAACTTAAGCGATTCATCTTTGAATAGAGATACCCCAAGGAAAGAGGCCGGGGTGTTAAGAAAACCTAACTCATATACTCGAAGATGTAGAATTCGGAGAATGCTATAAGTCATTCATGTATGATGATACAAGTACAAGGGAGTTTGGTTCCTTCAATCATGCACATCAACCTTCGGATGAATCTTTCATATTTCAAACACCGGATGAGGCATCCGAGAGACTTCATGGTCTTCAATTGGGACTTCACCACAAGTATGATTTCTACGTGGAATCATCGATGAAGGAGGGAGATCTCGCTTTTTTATCTCAAGGAGTCAAGTCCGTCGAAAAGACTGTTAAAAACACGCTTGTTGGGAGGCAACCCAACAACTTGATTTGCGTATTTTTTCCTTTTTCTTTTTATTTTTGAATTATAGCTTAAGTAGGAAATTAGAATTGCATTGAGAATGATTGATATGAATTAGCCCTTGCCTTGTCTTTGGATTTTTGAACTCTTTAGATGAATGATTAAGCTTAAGGACTTGGTGAAAACATGTTGTTATGATCAGGGCAAAGATCGCGATTGACATACTAGAGATCGCGACAGCTTGCGATCTTGTCCGTGCCTATTTAAAGGGAAGCTCCACATTGCATCCATGTGTAGTCTCTTCATCTCATCTTTTAGATCTATATGCCATGTTTCTCCACCCCCTTAGCTTGATGAGCATACCTTCTCTAGATTCACTTTCCATCATCTTTTGAGAAGTATTTTTAATTACTTTTGGATTCCCAACATGTCTCCTTGCAAGATAAGGTACACTTTCCCATTTTCTCATATTTTAACTACCTTATTTTGCTCAACATGTGTTGAATGAATTGAGATTTGAAATGCTCATCTTCATCGTGGCTTCACCATTTGATGCCCTATGATTGTTTTCTTTGCTTTAATGGTCATGCTATGAATTTGGGAAGCCTTGGTGGCTATTTCCATGCACTTCTTTAGTTTTCAAAGACCACCCACCAAGTGTTCGTAGAAAGTCCCCAACTTCTTAGTTTCATTTTCTCCAATCCTATTAATTGAGCATTAACTTATTTGCATTCATTTGGGAGATTATATTATTCATTGCCTTGGAACTCTGATGACTTGATATATGCACATGTTTTTGTCTACTATTCTTACACCGTTTGAGTCTGATTTCTAGTGTTTTAGGCCGATTTCACGCTAGGTTGTTCTTGTTTGTGATATTTCAGGTCCTAGTACATGAATGAAGGTTTGGGAACGATTTCTGGGTCGATTGGACGAAGATTGGACGTTTGACGAGAAGCTGGGAAAATCACACGGGCAGGCCTAAAATCCCACACGGCCGTGTGACTTGGCCGTGTGGCACCATTTTGCACGGGCAAGCCACACTGGCCGTGTAGGGGACCCCTTGTGGCCGTGTGGAAAGTCCACGGAGCTCACACGGGCAGCCTGGAAATCCATACGGCCGTGCAGCATGCCTGAAAGTCACTTAATCGAAACGCGGTGTTTTGATTGCCACACGGGCAGCTGGAATTTGTACACGGCCGTTTGGCCTGGCCGTGTGGTCGGGAATTTCTGGGTTTTAACCCAATTTCGAGCCAAAGGAGAAAAGAATCGACTTTTTGGAGCAAAAACAGAGTTTTAGAGAGAGAAAGTGCGAAGAACAAACCCTAGGAGCTATTTGGAGTGGATTTCTCATCATTGAAGCCCAGATTGCATCCCGAAGAGTGAAGATTGACATCCCAGAGCAGATTTTCCTCATCTTTATGAGTATGACTACTCTGATTTCTGTTTTACTCTTTCGAGTAGAACTTTCTCTCACTTGGATATGAAGAACCCTAGTTCCATGTGTTAGGAATCTTGATTGTAATTACGTCTGGATTGTGATATTAATTGATTATAATCGATTGAAGTGTTTTGAGTGAGTCAATTGAAGTCTGATCATCTTTTATTGATTTCTGCTGCAACCTGAGATAAATAGAATCTGATTAGGTTGTTAGAGCTTCTTCAATCGGTAGTAGTGAATCGATCATACGAGAGTTAGTCGATTCACTGCTTTGTACTGGAATCTAATTCCAGTAGTGGAGTTCTATGTTCATTGCATCAGCGTTCTACCCCGGTGAAGACAAGTCGTCTGCCGGGTAGTTTGACTGAGAGGGCTTGGTCAGCTTAAGAGATTCCAAGCTACTGTCGGATCTTCCGCAGTATAATCAGCAGTAAAACAACCAAAAGTAATTACAACTGTGACCTAACTAAGGAGCTAGGGGGACTCATTCCCGAGTGACTCTTCCTTTGCTTTAGAAAACCGAATCATTTCCTGCTTTCTTATAGCTTTTACTTAAATCAACAATCACTTGACTTAGTTGGCTAGATAATAGATATTCACGGAGTAGGCAGTAGATCTAGACCCCGGGTTAACAATTAGAGCTTGCCTGTTACTGCATTTCCGGACTGCGATTACACTTGGTCGCAGTTTGGTGTTGTGTTTTAGCGTGTCAAGTTTTTGGCGCCGTTGCCGAGGAGCCTCTAGGTTATTGGAGAAGCGTGAAAGTTTGTTACCCTAGCCTTTTTTAAACTGAATTTTCTCTCTCTTCCACTTGTGTGCCTTCACGGGTTGCTTTTGCTGATTGTGTGTAGGTAGTGCATGACCCATAGCCAGTCGGGAGAGTTACTACCATTAGACCACGAGCTTGAACGGACCTGTAGGAACTTCAAGCGGGCTCTAAAGGTGCGACTGGCTGCGGAGGAGGCCCTAGCACAGCTGCAAATCGCCGACGAAGAAGAGATGGGGGACCCACACGACTATGATGTGGTCCTTCCTGAGGAGCAGACCATGGGATACAATTGGACCGCCAAAGACGCGGACATGAGGTCGCCCATTCAGCACCCTCATGTGCCAGCGAATAACTTTGAGGTGAGCACCTCTGTCATCACCATGCTGCGCGGTTGGGTGGTGTTCCGAGGCAAGGAGGGGGAGTGCCCCCGATCACACCTGAGGCGATTCCACGAGCTCATCGATGGGATTAAGATCAATGGGGTCCCAGCCGATGCAATCCAGCTGAGGTACTTCCCGTTTACTCTGGAGGGGCAAGCCAAGGAGTGGCTAGACACTCAACCTCCAGGTTCGATCACCATGTTCGCCAACCTGGAAGACAAGTTCCTCACTCTCTACCATCCTCCGTCCAAGACGGCGGACTTGCAGAAGCAAATTACCCACTTTGCTCAGGATGTAGATGAGACCATCCAAGATGCTTGGGAGAGATACACCAGTCTCTTTCTCAAGTGTCCCAACCATGATTTTATTGACTCCTTCAAGGTGGGCACCTTCTACCATGCCCTCTTCCCGGAAGACAAGCAGCTAATTGACTCGGTCTGTGGCGCTAATATGCTCACCAAATCACCGCAACAGCTGAGTCAACTTTTTTAAGAGATGGCAGAACAGGGCTATGACTAGGGAACTGCGAGGAGATCGAGACGAGCACCAGGGCGGGGTGTGCATGCTGTAGCCACCCAGTCATCTGATTTTGGTGCAGGTGGTATCGAAACTGGTTTCAGCCATCGATCGCTCTGGGATGATTGCAAGTACAGGACAGCAGCAGGCGATGCACTGCAGTGGTGTGAGAGCTCCCATCACACCGTGGAGGACTGTCAGGCGATGAGGGAGTCTTCAACCCCAAGGAGAAGGTGGACTTCATCGGCAATGCCAGGCGCTTCGACCCCTACATCAACACTTACAACGAGGGGTGGCTCCAGCATCCCAACTTCTCCTGGGTTGGGGAAAATTCTAGACCACCTGGCTTCTAGAGGCCTCCTTACCAGCCTAGACAAGGGCAATTTCAGCAGCCGCAGTGAATGAAGGTTTGGGAGCGAGTTCGTGGTCGATTGGACGAAGATCAGACGTGTGGCGAGTTGCTGAGGAAGCCACACGGGCACTCATAAAACCCACACGGCTGTGTAAGGAACCAATGTGGCCGTGTGGGATTTAGCGAGGCTTCACACGGGCATACTGGAGATTCCACACGGCCGTGTGTCCCTGGCCGTGTAGGTAGCCCGAAGTCCATTTATTTGAAACGCCGCGTTTTGACACTCACACGGGCATCTGGGTAAACCACACGGTCGTGTGGCCTGCCCGTGTGAGTCGGGAATTCTGGTTTTAACCCAATTTCGAGCCACAAGTGAGCGAATCGACTTTTCAGAGCAAAAACAGAGCTCTAGAGAGAGAAAGTGCGAAGAACACACCCTAGAAGCGATCTTGGAGCTGAGTTTCATCAAATTGAGCTTGGAGATCATCATAGGAGTGGAAATCATCATCCCAGAGCAGATTCTTCCCATTGTTATGAGTATGACGGCTTTGTATTATGTTTTTCTCTCTCTCTCTCTATGGAGTAGACCCTTCTCTCACTTGGGTATGAAGAACCCTAGTTCCATGTGTAAGGGATCATGATTGTAATGACTTGGGATTGCTATACTGTTTGGTTTTAATCGAATGATGCATGATTCATTGAATTGATTGAAGTCTGATCAGCTTTTCTTGATTTTTGCTGGAACCTGAGAGATAGATAGAATCTGATTAGGTTGTTAGAGCTTCATCATTTGTTAGTAGTAGATTGGCTATACGAGAGTTAGTCAGTCTACTGCTTTGTACTGGAATCCAATTCCAGTAGTGGAGTTCTGTGCTTATTGCTTCAGCTTTCTATCCCAGTAGTCGTCTGCCGGGTAGTTAGACTGAGAGGGCTTGGTCAGCTTAAGAGATTCCAAGCTACTGTCGGATCTTCCGCAGTTTAATCAACAGTAAATCAACCTAGGGTAATTACAACTGAGACCTAACTAAGGAGCTAGGGGGACTCATTCCCGAGTGACTCTTCCTTTGCTTCATAAAATCGAACCAATTCCTGCTTTCTTACTGCTTTTAGTTAAAACAACAATCAATCGACTTAGTTTGCTAGATAATAGATAATCACGGAGTAGGCAGTAGATCTAGACCCCGGGTTGATAATTAGAACTTGCCACTATTCTGCATTTCCGAACTGCGATTACACTTGGTCGCAGTTTGGTGTTGTGTCGTTGCCGGGGAACCTCTAGGTTATTGGAGAAACGTGAAAGTTTGTTACTCTAGCTTTTTCTTTACTGCATTTTCTCTCTTCCACCTGTGTGCCTTCACGGGTTTCCTTTGCTGATTGTGTGCAGGTAGTGCATGACCCGTAGCCTGACGGGAGATCTACTACCATTAGACCAGGAGCTTGAACGAACCTGCAGGAACTTCAAGCGGGCTCTAAAGGCGCGACTGGCTACGGAGGAGGCGCTAGCACAGCTGCAAAAAGCCAATGAAGAAGAGATGGATGATCCACAGGACTATGATGTGGTCCTTCCCGAGGAGCAGACCATGGGATACTACTGGACCGCCAGGGCCGCGGACATGAGGTCGCCCATTCAACACCCTCATGTGCCAGCAAATAATTTTGAGGTGAGCACCTCTGTCATAACCATGCTGCGCGGTTCGGTGGTGTTCCGTGGTAAAGAGGGGGAGTGCCCCCGATCACACCTGAGGCGATTCCACGAGCTCATCGATGGAATCAAGATAAATGGGGTCCCAGCCGATGCCATCCAGCTGAGGTATTTCCTATTTACTCTGGAGGGGCAGGCCCAGGAGTGGTTAGACACTCGACCCCCAGGCTCCATCACCACGTTTGCCAACCTAGAGGACAAGTTCCTCACCCGCTACCATCCTCCGTCCAAGACGGCGGACCTGCTAAAGCAAATTACCATTTTGCTCAGGATGAAGATGAGACCATCCGGGATGCTTGGGAGAGATACACCAGTCTCTTCCTCAAGTGTCCCAACCATGGTTTACTGACGCCTTCAAGGTGGGAACCTTCTACAATGCCCTCCACCCGGAGGACAAGAAGCTGATTGATTCGGTCTGTGGCGGGAATTTGCTCACCAAAACACCGCCCCAGCTGAATCAACTTTTTGAGGAGATGGCCGAGCAGGGTTATGATTGGGGAACCGCAAGGAGATCGAGACGAGCACCAGGGCGGGATGTGCATTCTTCTTTGCACTCCTCAGAGGTGCATCCTCAGTCACAGTCCCACTTCTCAGCATGATGGCGTGCAACCCCTCCTTATGATTTCTGGGATTCGGCAAGGGTTGGGGATGACTAGATATCTACATATGTTTTACCCTTTGTTTCTTGATAATTTAAGCTTGCATTATCGCTTCTTTGGCCTATTTTACGCTAGATTGTGTTTCTTTGTCACATTTCAGGTCCCAATCGTCGAAGGAAAGGCTAGGCGCAAGTTTCAATTCAATCGGATACCAATTGGCGATTCGGGAGAAGAAACTCAGCCATGACCTGAAGAAGAATGGATTTATACCTCATTTATGGACAAATAGTCATGCAAGCTTATGATAAAAAGAAAGAGGACGAGACTACGAGCGTTTGGGATCAAACGACGACTGATTCGGAGTCCGGACGAGGGAGAAACGAAGCATTGAATATAGGGGAACAGGTTCGGCAGTAAAAACACAGGCAGACTACCCTAAAAACACGGCCGTGTTTTTTTGGCCCCGGCTAGTGTTTTTACTGCCAAGGGCGTGTTGTGAGGGATGCTGGGGGCAAAACACGGCCGTGTCCTCGACCGGGTTTTTCCCAAAATCGGGTTTTTGAGGCAGATTCAAGCCAAAGGAAAGGGGGAGTTGGGTTTTGGTTCCCAAACACCCAAGGGACGAACCCTAGAGAGAGAGCGACTTGGGAACATTCTTGGAGCTATTTTGGAAGATTTCTTTGCCATTGGAGCTCGGGAATCAAGATTGGAAATGGAGATTGAAGATCTAAATCAGATATCTGCAGACTCTCTCTTCTCTATGGAGTAACTTCCCTTCACTTAGGTTTTGAGGAACCCTATTTCCATGTGTTACGATCTTTCTTGTATGAAGTTTTGGATGCTATATTGTTTGATTATAATCGATTGAGGCATGATTTATTGAGTCAATTGAATCTTGATCAAATTCTCTTAATTTATGCTTTAACCTATGATAAATAGAATCTGATTAGGTTAATGAGCTCCCTTGATTGATAGTGGTGAATTGGTTGTGCGAGAGTCAATCAATTCACTACTTTGTACTGGAATTCATCCCAGTAGTCGAGATCTGAGTAAATCGCCTTAGCAGTCTATCCCGGTGAAGGCTAGTCGCCTGTCGGGTATTCTGTCTAAGAGGGCTTGGTCAGCTTAAGAGATTCCAAGCTAATTTAGGATCTTCCACAGTTTAATCAACAGTAGATCAACCAAAGGTAATTGCAACTTGGACCTAATTAAGGAGCTAGGGGGAATCATACCTAAGTGAATTCCCAACTTGTAATTAGTAGAGTAGTTTAGTAAATCATTCCTTAATATAGTTTGCTAGATAATTAACTGAAGCTGAGTAATAGTAACTCTAGAGACCCGTGGATTCGATATTTATTACTTGTGCCACTATACTGCAGTCCCTTTCATTGGTTACACTTGGCCATTGTTAGGTGTTGTGTCGTAGCGTGTCAAGTATTTGGCGCCGTTGCCGGGGACTTTCTATATAATTAGGAAAGGCAGAAGTTTATTACCTTAGCGTTTTTTTTCCACCATTGCTTTTCACCTGAGTGTTTTTGTTTTTGTTGGTGCAGATGACACGACCCGATCCTTTAGAAAACCAAACCACAACTCAAACCACAAACCGGTTACTGCGGAGCAACCCAAAACAGGTTTACAAGTCAAAACCAAAAACCAACAACCACAATGTTTAAGATTTTCAAGTGAAATGCCCTAAAAACTTAGGCGACCTCAACCCAGAGCAACAAAACATAAACACAACCCTTGAGGTTCCCCAGTATACTCAATAAGACATGAAAGTAAAGACAAATATAATGGGAGGTCCCATCTTGTTACCCAGATCCAGTTGACATCTTCAGGTTAGTCGCGGCTGCTCTCCTCGGGTAATCTCCTCTTGATGGATGCGTCCTCTTCCCCTCTATGCACGTGGTGAGTGAGAAGGGGTCAGTCTCGTCGTTACTCCCTACGGTCTTTGCCCTAGGCAAACTCCTTACTAAACACGTTATTAGGGGAATGCCTTCCGAGCATGAAAGTCGTTCTCGCTTACTGATCTTAAATAATCATCCTTACCAACTCAATTCAACATTAACTCATAAGAGTGCTCGCCTTCTATCCTTAACTCAAATAAAAAACACTAGGACCACCGCGTTACGTCTCGCCGTCCGGTTTCCTACTCTAGTATGCCAACCGCATTACGTCTCGCCGTCCGGTTGCATACCCAAACTCGGCAATGGCACTGCGTTACGTCTCGCCGTCCAGTCCATGCCCGTCAACTACTGCATTACGTCTCGCCGTCCAGTAGTGACCCAACCGCCCGGGGGTTCCTCATACCATCAATCCATACAACATCACATACATTCATACATAGCACAACGCGTCCCTCCAACCTTACAGGCAGTGGGATGCCTCACACACATATCGCGCATACTAGGAAATCACGAAGGGGTTCATGATCCTTACCTAGAAACACGAAAGGGATGGGATTCGGATTGGGATCGGGATCGGAATTGGGGTCGGATGGGGAGCTGGCGCTCCCTTTTTTTTTTTTTTTTTTTACTTCTTCTCCTTTCCTCTGCTTGCGGCTCTCGGGGAAGAATTGGGGGGGGGGGGGGGGGGGGATGGGGTTTGTTTTGGTGGCGCTGCTAGTATTTGGGGGAAGGGTTTTTGGGAATTGGGGGGTGGGGGGTGGTTTGGGGAAGGGAATGGAGGTGCCGCTTCCTTGGGCCGCCCATTTCTTTTTTTCCCTTTTATAATTAGTGTTATAATAATAATATTATAATTATTATTATTCTTAATCCGCGATTGTAACTCTTTGTACGTAACCGTCAATCCAACCGATCACGTATTAAAGTCGAACCTAACTCTAAAATACTGGGGTGTTACATTTCCTCCACCCTTATAAAAATTTCGTCCCCGAAATTTCGAACTGGAAATATAATTACTTGGTCTAAAACTTTTGGTGTTTGAACAAAACTTCTCAATCTAGAATATAACATTCCCCTCGAAATTTTGGTCCGAACTAATTAATAGGTTTGGTACCGAGTACTAGAACTGAAAGTGCGTCTTTCGAAGAAAACAACCAACTAGCGGTCTATGCTTAAAGCAAATACTCCTCCACAGTCTCCCCATTTCTTCACATGATCACATCAATGTGCTTGTTCGTCCCCTCCATCGTCACCACGATCTCCCTCTATCCCTCGCATGGCAAAAATCTCGGCTGTCCTCCTGTTGGAGGCCCCTGGTCTCTGTCCCGATCGGTGAGGTCGAAGCGCCCAGTGCCTCCTCCCTGGCTTTGGAATGAGCGGTTTGGCTAGATGCCAAACCGTGGTCCTCCGTGAGTCCTCGCTCCACCACCCCGGACAGACTGCTCGGACTGAGCCATCCCTTGTCCGCCTCTCCAAGGGCATTCTCTAGCGAAATGCACAGGCTCGTTATAGTTATAGCAGACCCTGGGGGGCTGCCTACACCCCCCTGAGTGATCCCGCCCACATTGGTTGCAGAGACCTCTGTTGCTGAAAGTTTGACCAGGCCGGACCAAGCCGGTTTGACTCTGAGTACCCCCAAAGCTAACGGTACCGCTCGGCCTCCTTCTGTACTGACTGGTCTGGCCTGACCACTCTGGCATGCTACTTTCCTTTCTCTTGCTTCCCTCTTGCTGTATCCCTTCTTCATGCACAACTGTGTCAGCCCTCTCTATCCGAAGAGCCGCCTTATAAATCTCCTCCCGACTGTTCCATGCCAGCATGCTCAACTGCTTCTTAAGGGCAGGCTTCAGACTCTCCAAATAGTGGGCATGTTGAGATGCCGCATCCTGGAACTGGGGTCCCCCATAGGGCAACAACAGCTTCTCGAACCTGGAGGTGTACTCTGCAACACCCTCCTCTCCTTCATTGCCTCATCCTTGCTTGATCAGCAAAAATTCCCTCTTTTTGCTCATTCGATAGGCCTCTGGTACATAGTGATCCCAGAACACCCGCACCAACTCTGGCCAAGTGATAGCTGGTGGGTCTTCCTGACTAGCTGGAAGGGTGCACCACCAGTTGTATGCTGAATCCTGGAACAGGGATACTGTCAGTAGCACCCTATCCTCATCATCTTCCCTCATTTCAGTCAATGTGCGCGAGACCTTCGCTAGCCATTTATCTACTTCACTAGCATCCTTCGAGCGGTCCCCGTCAAAATCAACCACTCCTTGCTTCTGGAAAGCCTCATAATTCGGGGGTTGCCTAACTGCCGCGAGGTTAACATTGGTGTTACTTGCTCTGCAAATAAGTAGTATCCTTATTGGAACCACCTTAATGTCTTATCATGCTTGAGTATACTGGGTACTCTATAAACCTTTTCAAATCGGTTGGCCAACCATTTTTCTTGAAAGTTCCCTTTTTTCCTTTAAAAAACTAAACCTTTGAAAATCCAGATCGTCACTCCAGTATTCCTTGGAGACCAAGAAATAGAGGAATGTCGGCTCTGATACCAAAATGACATGACCCGATTCTTTTGAAAACCAAACCACAACTCAAACCACAAACCGGTTACTCCGGAGCAACTCAAAACAGGTTTACAAGTCAAAACCAAAAACCAACAACCACAATGTTTAAGATTGTCAAGTGAAATGCCCTAAAAACTTAGGCAACCTCAACCTAGAGAAACAAAACATAAACACAACCCTTGAGGTTCCCCAGTATACTCATTAAGACATGAAAGTAAAGACAAATATAATGGGAAGTCCCATCTCGTTACCCAGATCCAGTTGACATCTTTAGGTTAGCCGCGGCTGCTCTCCTCGGGTAATCTCCTCTTGATGGATGCATCCTCTTCCCCTCTATGCACCTGGTGAGTGAGAAGGGGTCAGTCTCGTCGCTACTCCCTAAGGTCTTTTCCCGAGGCAAACTCCTTACTAACCACATTAGTAGGGGAATGCCTTCCTAGCATGAAAGTCGTTCTCGCTTTCTGCTCTTAAATAATCATCCTTACCAACTCAATTCAACATTAACTCATAAGAGTGCTTGCCTTCTATCCTTAACTCAAACACAAAACACTAGGACCACCGCATTACGTCTCGCCGTCCGGTGTCCTACCCTAGTATGCCAACAGCGTTACGTCTCGCCGTCCGGTTGCATACCCAAACTCAGCAATGGCATTGCGTTACGTCTCGCCGTCCAGTCTATGCCCGTCAACTACTGCGTTACGTCTCGCCGTCCAATAGTGACCCAACCACCCGGGGGTTCCTCATACCATCAATCCATAAAACATCACATACATTCGTACGTAGCACAACGCGTGCATCCACTCTTACAGGCGGTGGGATGCCTCACACACATATCGCGCATACTAGGAAAATTAAATAACGTAACTGAATTATAACGGCATAAACTAAAAGACCTCGACAGAGATTTTACCCACTTTACACTCACCTCGAAAAGATGACTCCTCAATTCCTTCCTCGAAGAAACCCCTCCTTAGTCGGATTATCTTGGGGAAACCTATTAATAAGAATCCATTTTCTTAGACGACCTTTCTTGATTTAAAACCCCTTTTGAATCACTAGGATATCCTCTCCTCAAACTCCAACCCTTGAACCTCATTCCAAAGGTCCTTTAACCCCCATTAAAATTTTCTAGAATTAATCCAAACAAAAACGACCATTTTTCTTAATTATTTTTATCTTGGACGAATTTTTCACCTAACTTAAACCTTCTTATAATTAATTACAATCATCTCCTAGACGTCGTTTAATTTATAAAATTGTTAAATTTAGAAAACAACCTTCAAGGAGGCTCGAAACAATTTAAAACATCTAAAAATACGTTTATGGAAATTCACAGCAGCTTTAGTGACCAATCAAAATCTGTCACTAGAAGTCTGTAACGCCTGTTGCTAAAAACCCAGAATTGCATCCACATAAAAAAAATCACCAAATCGATCGATCTAACTCAATGGGATCAAGTTCCCTTACCTCTAGAACGTGCCTAGGCCTAGGTTGGATGACCTGGGACCTTGATCTCCTCGTTGATCGAACCCTCAAACGTCACCGCTAATAAAATACGAGCTTTGGATTAGACTATCGATAAATCAAGTTTAGAAATTGCGAAGGGGTTCGTGATCCTTACCTAGAAACACGAAAGGGATGGGATTCGGATTGAGATCGGGATCGGAATTGGAATTGGGGTCGGATGGGGAGATGGCGCTCCCTTTCTTCTTCTTCTTTTTTCTTCTTCTCCTTTCCTCTGCTTGCGGCGCTCGGGGAATATTGGGGGGGGGGGGGGATGGGGTTTGTTTTGGTGGCGCCGCTAGTATTTGGGGGAAGGGTTTTTGGGAATTGGGGGGTAGTTTATTTGGGGAAGGGAATGGAGGCGCCGCCTCCTTGAGCCGCCTTTTTTTCTTTTATAATTAATGTTATAATAATAATAATTATAATAATAATTTATATAATTTTATTATTCTTAATCCGCGATTGGAGTATAATTTTTTTTCTTTTAGTACGTAACCGTCAATCCAACCGATCACGTATTAAAGTCGAACCTAACTCTAAAATACAGGGGTGTTACAGCAGATCTGAATCATTGATCCTAATGGCTTCTCCAACCACTAGGGGTATCCACCACCATCTGAGTGGTATTACCCCGAGATTTCCTAGAGCAATGAAGGAGGAGAAGACTTTGGATTCGTTTTCCAGTACCAACCCCCTTAATACGGAGAACAATCAGACCCCTGGGCATATCAAGAACAACCTCCTTATCAAGAAGAATTCCTCTCACAACCAGAAGGGCCATCATATCTTGATTTAGCCACAGCCCTCATGGGCCATCCGGCAAAGCCATGCTACACTCCACAACCAGATCCAAAATATCACTTGAGGCTTCTCGTGGAGCAGATTGCTCGAGTACCCGAGAGATCCTTTCCCGAGATGGATCCTCATATCCAGGCCATTGCCCAAACTGAATTCTCCTTTCCCCGTGAAACAGAGCATACCCTTCGGAGCATAAAGAAGCACATAGAGGTCATTGAGAAA